GTGTTGATTACTTTTTTATAGCTCGAATTATATTTTGTAATATGAAATGAGTTTGGTTACATTTGTTATTTGTTTAGTATTTATACATGTGCATTTTTCTTTCACATGACACTTTGATGCCTGTGTAATCCATATTTAGTTTTCTATTTGGATCTTTTTCAGTTTTTGAGGAAAATGCATTGAAATGTCTTAATATATAGTTTATGAATGAGTTAAACTTATCATTTGTATCAGTGCCTTATATTCTTCCTTCCATTTACAAATCTGAGCAAGTTTTGAAATTTTATTAGTTTCCTTGGAATAGTTAGATTTCTTTGTAGTTGTCTTTCCGCGTTTTTGTTTCTGTTGAGAAGTGTTAGGATCGTGGGCAATGGGTCACTGAAACCTGTATTAAATGTAGCAACAGAAAAACAATGGTATTTGCATCTATTATTATTTATCTATAGCAGTGCTACTATTTTTGGATATCGTATTGTGTATTTATGCTTGTTTGTAAATTGTATGATTTTAGTAGCGTCTTAAATAGATTTTCATACTGGTGTGTGAGGCAATTTATACTGAAGTCACCACAAAAGAATATTTCATACTGTCTGCGTTTTGAAGTTTTGTTAGAATAACTTCCACGATTTTTAAAAAGATTTCAAATTTCCAGCAGGGCTGGAAAAATAAAGTATCTTAACAATAGCAAGAGGCATTCCAAAATTGAGAAAATAACCATGCTTACAGAATTAATTTTATTTTTAAATTTATTTCATTAGAACTTCCCAAATCAGATGTGGGAAATACAGTTTGTATAATGGATCTGTATCCATGACAGAATACACACTGATTTTAAAACTCTCGTTATTCATTCCATTCTAACTGGCAGCGTAAAAGAGATATGTTCAGAAACTTTTTGCACAATGAAGCAAGTCATGCACTGCACATAACAATGCTTCTTGAAAATTATCTGATTCTGACTCTTCAAAGTGAACATAATTTAAAGCCACTTAGGTCAAACTCGTAGGGTTTAATATGCATGCTTCAGAAGCCACTCTCTGGAAGAGGATCTGAAAAGCAAAAAATGCCGTTAAAAGATACTATGCCTCAATGAATGTTCTGAAAACAAATCTGTATCAAAAAATTAGAGGTTTCTTTTATCACCATCTCGAATTACGAAATTAGAAAGAACAGGAATATCTTACTTTACCACTACACCGAAGGCACAGATTCATCTCCCAGAATGGCTTCTTGCACCTGTCCAGATGTTACCAGATCTGTAATCACCAAAAAAAAGTTTTTATATTACTATAATTTACCTCAAATTGCACTAATAACTGTATATTGAAAGGAACATACCATGAGAAACGTCCATAAAAAACTTGAGGTGACACCTCCACAACATCTGAAAAATGGAGACAAAATTGATATCTATCCATATTAATAAATGCAAAAAAGTAATAATTGAGATTCTTAAAGATTATAAAAATATTTACCTTTCACAAGGCTAACATAAGCAACTGCTGCACTTGCTGTAGCAGCATGTTCAACAGCACTAGAACCTGTATTAATCAACAACAAATTATTACCAATACATTATGCTTCTCAATAGCATGCTTCTTATTGCATTTTACAAACATACAAGAGACTTACCATTTTCAGTTTGAAAAAGCTGCCTGTGTACAAGGATCTGAAAAATAAAAATGCTGGTAACGTAGCCTCCCATCAAACTATATATTCTTCTAAAACTATAAAAATATATTCTATTAAAACTATATTCTAGTAATATTCTATTATCTATTATTAATTCTATCTAGTAATATTCTATTCTATTATCATCTTGCTGTGGCCAGCAGTATAGCGCTGATGAAGGCCACAGCAAGATGGTCGAAACGTCAGTTCAAGTGACCGAGACGCGGCTCATCCCGGATAGCCAAGAATGCATTGGCTCCGGCCACGGAATCCTATGAATGCATAGAGCAAGACACAGCTTCCCCTACCATCTACATTGCTCCACAGATAATAATGGCAAGGATGTGCTTTCTTGCTCCTTCCAAAAGGCTTTGTGTGATGTGAAATCTGATTCTTCTAAAACATTCATACCATTTTTTCTTTTTTTTATTTCATTAATTTATTTTCAGTTTCTTCAGAAGTGGTTTGACACCCAATTTTTTGTTATCTCTGTATTTCTTTTTATCTAAGATGTTATAACCTAGAGTGCTTCTCAAAATTTTCATCTCTCCTGCCTGGATTTAAGTCTTTTTTTTATGTCACTCTTGTTTTATCCCCTACTTTAAAATTGGCACAGCTACTGTGTTGAATTATTCTTGTTTCTATTTTTTTTATTTTTTAGATGTCTGTATCATGCCACAGATATTTCTAAATTTATTTAGAAAAAAATCTAAATCTCTATCTAAATCTAACTCTCTTTCAAATGAGATACGACAACCTATATATTTAAAATATTTTACCAAGGAAAATTGACACAAGAGATTACCACCATCAAAGGTGTAAGAATGGCTTTAAGAATAGTTTTTAATTTTCCTTTTTTGACTGGTTTAATGCTTGTTGTTTCATATAGTCCATTTATCTCTTCTATCAAGTGTGTTGGATACCCCCATCTTTCTGTAATGTTCCATAGTAGACTTCTATTACTATTATCAAAAACTTTTTCTAATGGATCATAGTATTCTGCTATTAAAACAAAGAGCAAATTGACTTTTGATCTCTGGGACTTTATTTGGGAGCTACAATTTAAAAACTTAAAGCCATAACTAAGCTTCCTAGTGGATAATTGTGTCCCAGCTGATTCTGTCAATTAACCCTCTGTCTTAATTGGAGTGTATGCCTCCTAAACCCAAATTACTAAATGTCAGTATCCTGAACCTGAAAAAATGTGTATTTTCATAAATTATGTTTCCTACTTATGTATTTGAGTAGTTAAACTATGACAACATAAAAATAAAACTTCAAAAGATTTCATAGGCTTCTTTCCACCCCCATCCCTCTATAGCCAAAAATATTTCTTGAATACTTAGAACTTACAGTGCATGTACTTACAGTGCAAATACTTATTAATGTCTTCAAGGCATATTTTTTCTTCCATTGTGAGATCCTGTTCTGTTTTTATGTATATCATTTCTCTTAGTGGCTTTAAATACTTTTTTGGTATTTGAACCTGTAAAACAAAGAAACACACTCAATAAAAGTACCTATATTAATCACCAACTGTAAAGAATTTTAAATAAACTGAACATTTACATTGACTAATTCATTTGAGAATTGTTTCACAGGCTTCTTTATCAATTTTTTCCTATCACAACCCTTCATCTCCATTATCTCCCTCTCAGAATAAGTATTTTGAACATTTTGATCCATTTCTTCCTTAGTCATATCCCTTCGTGGACAGCTACAAATGTGAATGTTGAGTAGTTTTCTTCCAACTACTTCTCCACTGTAAAATAAAGGTGAAAAGGAATATAAATGAGCATTTCCCAATGCATCATTAGTGTTTAGATTATGTTAAAATGCTTTGCAGTAAAGTTACCAGATTTCATCCAGTGAATTCAGGAATACTATTTAAACAATACAATTAATAATTATTATTACTCCTATAAAGTAAAGGTAACAGAGTTGTTAATTATTAAGTTTCCTAAAAATCTACCATACTTTAAAATATATACGAACCATTAAATTGGATTTGATGGCCGATTTGTGTATCTGGAAATTAGGAGTCCCCAAGCAATTGAGATATCTGGCAACCTTATTTTTTGGGAGTAAATGTTCCAATAATATTTCTTAAAATCACAATTACAACTACTTTCTCCAACTAACGTTTCTCTTTCCAAAGTGAAAATCAAAGCCGTGCTGCGACAGTTCATTCCAAGATTGCAACTGCTCTTGCACATAAAGGAACACATTATAGTAAACCAATCACTGCCTGGTTGAGGAGGCTCTGCAGGCACAATTACACTCAGTCTTTGACTTGAAGAATCTTTCTGATACATTGCTCCTGGGTGATAGCATCTGATTACATGGTTCACATGCATAAAATCTACATAAACAAACAAACAACATTCATATAAGTAAATACAGTCAAATCAGTTTAAACCGAAATCATACAAGCCGGAAACCTGCCTTCACCAGAAAATTTTTCATGGCATTTTACACAATATAAAAGCAGAACCTCTCCAATACGGAAACAGAACGTTTTTTCAGGTCCTGCAGGGGGAAAAATATTTATAAAACAGAATTCCTTTTAATTTAATGCAACTGGCAGAGAAATGCGAGATATTCTTAATGAAATGAATTCATCTGTTTTAAATTCTCTCTGTGACACATGATTTAGTCATGGTGCTGGACATTGAAAGAGAAGGGCTTCAGTTGTCAGCGTAGAATTCAATTGATTGCTTGTTTTGATGATTTCAGATACATCAACTCGTAGAGTCATTAGTTTTGTAACTGTAGTGCATGTATTTGCTTGGGAGGTGGCGGTGATCTTTCCCTCTCTGTATGGGGAGATCCGGCACCGACCTACTGTCGGTTAGTAGGGTTTTCCCTAACCAAGTATCTCCACCAGTGGGGCACCGCCCCAGCCGGGACAAGCTCTAAGCTCCAGACCAGTCTCCTGGCATGTGTGCTTATGTAGTGTGTGTTAGTGTAAGGGGAGAGGATAGGACAAGAAAGGGGTAGGAAAGATTGCGTGCGGTTCGTGGCCCGATTGGCAGGGTACTGTTCCAACATTCATCTGGTGTTGATCAGAGAAACGACGGGAAACTACCGATCAAAGCATCTGGCCGCTAGAATCCTACTCCAGACAGCGACTGAATTTGACCCAGCTGATAAGCTAGCGTCGAAAATCCTGTCATTGTCGAGACTTGAACCTAGGACCTCCCAGTCAAAGGGACTGCAGCTACATCAGTTGGTGCCCTGAGCCATCTCTCCCGGTCATAGAATTTGACCTTGGAGTCGCTTGCCTCTCAAGGCATAGGCCATAGTGGATTCCCTCTCTCCCGTTTCTCTGAGCATGGGAAGGTGTACAGACATCGCTTCTATTCATGCATCTCCCTGTCCCAAGTTGAAAATCATTACCCCCTCAACCACATACGCATTGCTGAAGGCCATGCAAGAGTATCAGAAAGTCATAGTAATGGGTTGTGACACATAGTGCATTGAAAGAGTCAGCAAGCTGCCCGAATACAGCCAGTAAGGTGAGTATTTTTCAACTCAGAAACTGTCGATGAAGAGTGTTTGTTATTCATTTATTAGTGATTTCTTCCATAAATATGTTATATGTTAATATATTTTGATAATTATAATAAAGTGATGTAATTTATTACTTTTAGGACAGAAACACAATATCACAATTTAACAGGGGGGGGGTCAATATCACAAGTGTCATCACATGTACATATAACACACATAATGTAATACTAGTACCCAGAGAAAATCAATGTGTGTACGGGGAGGAGAGAGTTCAGAACAACAGCGTGTCTTAAAATAAATTGGAAAATAATTTATGAAAAAATTGATAAATTGAAGGACTAATGCTACATTAACTTAGCAATTTATAACGTACGTTTTCAGCAAGTTAATATTAAAATATTTTCAGTCTTGAAGTTATTTTTTAGTAATTAGTTCAATATTAACAATTATGATTATGCATTGCAATAATTTCCAATTGTTTTGATAACATATAATTGGCCAAAATTATCCCTTAGGCTTACTTTGCTGGTATCACATTCCCTCCCATTGGTATACGACTGATAATTTAAACAAAAAGAAGTTCATTAATACAGAAGAAGAAAATAATGAAAACAACCTTTGTTAGATTTCTCCAAGTTGGAAGCATGAGTTGGGCACCGATGTATAGGCTCAATAAAAGAATCTTGTGTCAAGAAAATTGGCAATATCCTGACAAGCAAACCTGGTTCCACTGCCTTTGCTTTAAACCGTAATGGAATTTTATCATTCATAACAACAAAAAGTTTATTCAACTTTTTGGAATGCTGAAAAAAACAATTTTAGTGAAAGTACAAACTGAAACAAAACAAAAAGCAAGTGAATATCAAAAATGCATCTAATTCAACTGACTGGAAATACATTGCAAACTGATTTAGATGCATTTAATTTCCACAATAAACTAGTTGTGGAAGTAATACGGCACAAAATTAATGCTTTGTAATACGTAAAGTAAGTAAACTTGACATTCATGACAAAATATCCAGTATAATTGATATTTAAAAGATGAAATATTTACTAAAATCAGTAATATTTTTTTAAATAAATTAATTATGAAACAACTTTAGTTCAGGAGTGGGGCTTCTCTCTTTCTGTTTTCTTCCTTTGTGAGAGAATTTCATGATAAGGACATGTGGGTTAAACAGTGATTTTGATTCATTTCAATATTCGTTACTTATATTTTGGTATGCTTTCCAATAGAAACAAAGGCACTCGTGACGATAGGCCCTAACGGCCCTAACGCGCCAAGTTATAGAAACCGAAGTATAGTATTCAACTTTGTGAATTGTAAACAACAGCGCATCGGCTTGCGGCCATGTGAGATCATCTCGCCGATATGTTTATTCTACGTTCCAGGCCAAGCGTGTTGGCGTGGTGTTGGCCCCTAATATTGAGGTTAAGTTTGTGATTTTATTGGTTGTATGATATAAAGCCAAGCATAACAAAGGTGTATCCGAGAATAGAATTTGTGTGTAAGTGATCAAACTTTTTTCATTTAAAAAATATTATTCAAATGAATTGTTGCAATTGTTTTGACAAATTACATTCTTAAAACAATTGTGTATGATATGCATGTTGCAAGTTGTTTGGGGGAAGGACACTTCTTACAAATTTAGATATTTGGATTATGTTCGTAATGTTTTGTCAATATATTTTACATAATGTATTCATTATTTTTCTTTATTTCCAACTCTGTCTTTAATAGTATGTTTCACCTAGCATAGATATTTTCTTTGAACATAGCAATTTTTTTCATTTTATATACATGGCTCCAGGAAAATACATATTGGTAACTCCATGTTTTAATTTATAAATTATAGGTTTTAAAATTTTCAGTATTTAATATTGTTGTTATAAATTTCCCCATGTAGAAGTTGTAAAGTATAGTTTTTATGGTTGGTGTTTGAAACAGGTTTGAGAGTCATGTGTATTTCCTTGATATAAATCCTACATTATATTCCTCCAATAAAAATTTGTAATGTGCATTTATTTATTATGTTATATTGATTTTTCAAGGAATTTTTTGTAAAACACATCTGGGAGGTATTAAAAAGTTATTCTTGCCACTACTCTTTCCATACATTTTAATTTGATTATCCATGCTTATGTCAATTTTAACCTGTGGACCCTCAAATAAAAAGAATGTTATTGTTGTAAATATTTTGTTCTTATTAAGTTTGTCAACAAACTATAAGTTAAGTTTTGCTTGACGTTTTCTTTTATCGTGATACTTTTAATTCCATTAATTTATTTACAATAAAAAAGGTAAGAAGTATATAAACAGTACACGGTATGTGCAAGATGGAGAAAAAATCTACACATAAGTTTATGAGAGCAGAGAAAATTTTATTATCACTCTATTAAAATTTAATTTCTCAAAATTGATAGCATTAGATTAGTGTCAAGTGCCAAGTTTTCTTATATGCATGACATACTAGTGTGTGTGTGGTTTTTCTTGTGACAGGAGAAAAATCAACTGGGAATTGTGTGTGAAGGGGTGATTAAACACCTTTCAATTCTCTGGCAACTTCTAACTTTCCTAATGTTTGATATTCTTTTTATTTTAATACAAATACATCCATCACTTTTAGGAAACAATTGAATAAATGATTTTGTAAAGGGCTTGAGTTACAGAAACAAATTTTTTGTGAGCGGAGAATGTGAGAGGAGGTCTTTTGAAACTAAGAAAAAATTATGTGTAATACTCTTAATATTTAGAATATATTAATAACTAGTTGTTGTGCGTAATTACTCTGATAGTAATTAAATGATTCTGACTCGTGCCCTCTGCATAATTATTTGACACAGAAAACCATTATATATGGAAATCGTACATTGAACTTCAAACTAAGTGTAGTTTTTGCAGTTATCAAATCCAACACAATATTATTCTTTTATAACAAACTCCCTGTCATGTCTCCATAATTTTCTTTTGGGGACCCAAAAATTATGATTGCAGGGCAAGCATGAGTATCCCTGCAATATTAACAATAAATTTTTCCCAATTTGTTATTAATAATGAAATTCAATAATATTTAAACAACCATGTGATTCGTATTTTGGACTGAATGCTGAACTTATACATTTCTCTTGTGTTTTCTGGAAGTGTTCCATATTTGACACAATTACATTTGAGCGGCCAGAAATTAAAAAAGCATAGTTGCAATACAAAACTGTTAACCCCAAATGTTCAAACTATTTAGTTAAATGTAATCCCCGATTTGTAACATGCTCTCTTGCTCTGCCTCCCATTGTTTCTCATTCTGCGTCCATGTCTGCCCCTGCTGCATCTATTCCTTTTTTAATTTTTTTGAAAAAAAATGAGCAATACCGAAAGTAAGACTTGCGCCATATTTCTTACCGTTCCTTATTACATATGTGGAGAAAATTTAAAGAAAAAACATGAAACGTTTTTTGAGATTTTTTTGCTAAATTTTTGCCTGGGATAATCTCTAACTTCAATTTGTAGTTTTTAAGTTTTTTGAAAATTTCAAAAAACCGAGTAATACCCAAAAATATGACTACCACCTTTTTTTTTTACAATTATTTATTATTACAATTATTTCTCTTCTTCCGTTAGTAAGTGCGAGAAAGTAAAAAGTGCGAGTAGATCATACGCTTATGTACCACATAACAATAGTGTTTACAGATTATTGAAATAAAGAAGAGTGAGATTCAGTAGTGGTTTTAGGAAGGGAAAATGAGCTTTTGCATCATTTGAGCTCGTATATGCTTTACGCTAACGTTACCTATTCAATAATCCGCTTCTGTGAGTTTCAGTGTGACTTAGCAAACAACCTCGTAATTGATTAGTACAGGCCAACCTTATTATAAATAAAAGTGCAAATTAAACTAATAATATTGCTTTTTGTTATGTGCAAGAGCGCTGGTTTGTCTCGTTTTTTCGTAATGAAAAAGTCTTATTGTCCCGTTAATTAATTTTTAAGATCTGGTCACCTTAATACGAGCAAGGTTGCTGGAGGAAGATCGAGGGACCAGGGGAAGCGATAGGAAGATGTGGAGCGAAAACGTGGAGTGAGTCAAGCTGGCACAAGCACTACAGCACAATCACATCTAACCAATTGGAGTATTTAGTGCTCATTTATTACTCCAAAATTAAATGTATTACTCTTTCCGCGTATGAAATATATGCAATTGTGCTGGATTGACAGCCAAGCTAGCCCAACGAATTTAAAAAAAATGAGCACAAACAAATCAAACTAGTATGATTATTTAGTACTAATTTATTACCCCAAAATGAATCCATATTTCAGTAAGATAATCCAGGGAACGAACGGGCCCAATCACAAACTAGTGATACTACAGAATGGCACCACCTTTCCCGTATTCATTTTCTATTTCCTTTGGTCTCTCCTAGCAATTCAGAATTGTCATATACTCTTGCCAGCTGCCATCTATCTCCCCCCATGGACATTTTTTTGACATTTTCTTAATTGTTCGGTTTTCTAATAGTAGGACGGAAATATTATTTTAAGTAATTTAAGGAACAGTAAAACCGCGAAGCTTCTAGCTTTAAAACATAAGAAAAGGTACATATAACATCAATTAATTCAATACTTATGACTGTCTCTACACAGAAATGTGTTTCGCGCGCTAGCGAAGAATGCTTTGGAAAGGATGAGAGCACATGTAAGTGGAGAAATCTCACACTTTCTTCTTTCAGTGTCACACTCACTTTTCTTAAAAAACTCGTGCTAGACGGGTGTTGTATCTTCGCGACATGTCAAGGCACTCGCGGACGGGAACTGCGCCTCCGCAGTGGCGATCGCACCGCCGCCCGGCTGCTCCACCCGCACATAAACCACGCTGTTCCCCTGCAGCCCCTTGACAGCCCGACGCCCGTGGACCGATCGCATTCCCCGAGTGTGCACCGGCTGGCTGTACTCGCAGCTTCCGAACACGCGTGTTTTGAAATACCATGTTGCGGAAACGCTCTGAGAGGACTTGTATTCCCTCTTGTTAAGAGATGTACTGAATTAATTTCACTGTGCACATGCGAACGTGCGAATATGTACGAGCCGCCACTGGTTTGATCACATGACTACCTTCTTCAAGATCTTCATTTAATGCCAACTAATCTGTCAGTGTAGCGGGAAAAATGAGTCTCTGGTCTGTGACCTCTGAAAGAAACAAGACTTTCTCTCCGAATTTAAATTTTTCAGTGGGTACAATACGACAGCTTTCGTGACCTTTCCAGACATACAATTCTTCATGTACAAATTACCAAACAGTTCCGCTACCGGTGGTTGGGTGATGACCAGTGGCGGCTGGTGGCGGTGGGCTGCGGGGCTACATCTCCCAGTACTAGTCAGAATTATTTAATTTCTCTTTGTTATTAAAATAAAATATGTGAGTCTTTCTTTCAATTAACATTACCACTGCTGGTGCGTGTGTAACTTGCGAAATGTTTCCGCCGTGTTCTGCTGCGATTCCATGTCCCTCCCTGGGACTACCAGTTCCAGTTGCATGCAACGAAGTATGGGCATAGTTGATTTCGCTTCCCCCGCTGTTTGTGTTGGGACTCAAGGAGCTGCAGAAAAGGCAGTCCCTCAGTTTTGCGCGACGTTTACATGATTGGTGAACAGCTCGGCTGAACGTATGATGTAGTTGAGGTGCTATATATTGTATTTTTCTTTTTTTACTTGCTTGCTACGGAGTAGAGAGAAAGTTACTGTGTATTGCTTTGCGAAATACCCGCGAATATTCGGCAGAGAAACTCTTATTACAGGGCCCTGGTAACGAAAAGTGGATAAATCCAGTTGTTAAATTTAGAAATAAATGTTCTAACAGCTGGTGTAGCCAGAATCCATGTTTTGTAGGTCCTTGAAACAGAAAAATTGAATGACCAAAACGTAGCTGTCCGCCTCCGAGCCACGCTAGCGACTAAACAGTTCTGACGATATTCTCCTAAATTTAATTCCCCAATGGATTTGGCTGATGTCGCGGTCCCTTGAATTTGCAATCGATATTTTAATTTTTGGGTGTACTTCACATGAAGGCCCTGGGACATTCTCAACATTTTCAAACAAAAGGCTTCATCGATTTTGAATAAATTTAAAAAGCCTAAAATGCCTATAAAGGGCCTTTAAGAGAATGGTGCTAGTCTCATTTTCGTTAAAAAGCCTGATTTTTCGAAAATTGCGTAAGTTCAACATTTTTTCGAAGTCGTCCTAAAACTAAAATATTGGTGATAGAGATTGTTTTGCTTACTGAAATCTGTTCTTTAAAGATATTTTTATTTAGATAAGGTCATGTACAATTTTTCGAAAATTTGAGTACTTTTCGCCTAATTTTGCGTGAAAGTACGGGCGAGAAAGTACGTGCTGCTTTAGCTCCACTAGTTCGTGTTTAGAATGGATACGAAATTCTATTCAATATTTAAAAACTGAAATTTAGAAGTTTAACTCTTTAAGAAAAGCGCGACATTAAAGCTTGCGGTAGACCTACGCCGGTATTGAACATATCTCATTTTATTTTCTAATTTTGCATGCAGCCTCTCCCCATTAATATTAAGGGTACAAGCGGTGATGACCCTTCCTGGATAAATTTCAGCAGGCCTATAATTGGTGGGGCAGAAGTCTGCACCAGAACTCTTCCCCCAACATGGATATGGACCCTTCACCCAACCTAAAAATCATATATTTTAATTTGTGCTGTCTTTTGCCAAGCATTTACGAAACTACTTACTAGTGTGGTGTTGTAGGTCACATTTCACATATCCGTATTCTTAATTGTTTATTAATTACTGGTTTTTTAATTAAGAGTTTAATTACTTTATTATTACTGTATAACAGCGTAAACATATTTCTAATATCTTGCAAAATTACATCAAAAAAGTTGAAATTATATCTCGACGCATTGTCACGGCAGTATTTGCACTGAAACTACCAAACTCTCCTCACAGAACATAAGTCATGACACCTTTCAATTCATATTGGAGAAGTGCCGACTTCACTCTTCCATATCAGTAATTACGCTAATCAGACTCACCCCATGCGGACTTTTGCCCCTTGCCACTGTATGTGTGTAATATTATTCTTATTTTTACGTTATGAAAACGTAAAAATAAGAATAATATTAAATACCTAACATTTCCTCTTTAACAAAAATATTAAACCAGTTAATTTCATAGATATGTTTGGAAATATAAATTGAAGATGAAACTAGTGGTACTACAGAATGGCACAGACCTCGTACTTGATAGTTTTCTAATTTCTTTGGTCTAGGCTTGCTTTACGGTTTTGTTTCATCCTCTTGCCAGCTACCATCTGTTTCCGCCCATTGTACATTTTTTGAACATTTCCTATTTTTTCGGTTTCCTAATTTTAGAATCAAAATATTATCCTAAGAATATTAAAGAAGAGTAAAACATAGAAATATTTAGAAATATTATTGGGCAAATTGTAAGCCGTTTAGGAGAAAATGAGTAAGCTTTAGTGTAAAAGCGGAATTTCACGATCTTTTTCACAGAAACCTTTTGAGTTTTCGAAAAGCTTCTTTGAAGTCATTTGGGGCACTCCCAGGCGCAAATGGATGCAAATCACTGGAAATATGTATATTAAAACCGTAAGTGATATTTTAAAAAATACGTTTGCGCATGTTTTGAAAATATAGAAGAATACATCAAAATGGCTTTTGTAACCTTATCGAGCGCACTTATTACTATTCGTACAAAGTGTTTGAAGAAAAAATGTCGACCCGTTTTTGAGAAAATAGCGTTTAAGAAATTCTTAAAATGCTGAAATTTGTGTCAATTTTACAGAAAATTTTTGAGTTTTCGAGAAACACTATCAGACATCATTTAAAGCAAATGTACTTGCAAATCCAAAAATGTTAACAAATAGCCATGAAGGTAAATATTAACGATGTGAGAGAAGTCAGAAATTAATTTTGAAAAAAACAAAAAACAAAACAGAATGACGTTTATGTCATCTTATACAATATATTTAGCACTACATCTACCAAAATTTAAAGAAAAAAATTAGAGCCATTCTTGAGAATATTTTTTTACTTGCTACCACTTTTCCAGTAGAAAGTTATCTAATGCTGCGTGAAAAAGCGGCGAATTTTCGTCCGAAAAACTCTTATTGACTGGTCTTGGTAACGCAAAAGTTGATAAATCTAGTTGCTAAATTTGGAAAAAAAAATCCTCAAACGCGGTATAGACAGAATCCATGGTTTGTGGGTCCTTGATACCGAAAAATCGATTGATGGCAAAACATCTGACCGTCTGTCTGTGAACAACGCTAGCGGCTAACCGTAAAGCCTATTTTCTCCAAAATTCGGTTTGGCTGATTTCGCGCCCCGAAATTTTAATGTTGGTGGGTACTTTTCATGAAGCCTCTGGGACATTTTCTAAAAAAAATGGCTTCCACTTTTTTTATTAAACTTTTTTATTGGATAGCGTATAGAACGTTTAAGAGAATGATGCAGGTCTCATAATCGTTAAAACCCTAATTTTTCGAAAATTGCAAAAGTTAAAAAAAAATTCGGAGTCTCCCTACAACTAAAATTACAAAGCTAGGTATTTTCCCTTAATGAAATCTGTTCCATAACGATAGATTTTGAAATAATGTGTACAATTTTTCAAAAATTTGAGTTATTTTCGCAGCATTTTGCGAGAAATGTAGGCAGTTTTTAATTTTGGGTTCGTAGGCTTCCGCGGCTGGAGTCAGTGCATTCTTGGCTATCCGCTATGAGCCGCGTCTCGTTCAATTGTGCTGACGTTTCTGCCATCTTGCTGTGGCCTTCTTCAGAGGTATTCTGCTGTATAGCTGCTGTCAGCAGTATAGCTTTGAAGAGGGCCACATACAGCATTCGCCGAACATTGCGGTCCTCTTGACAACTGGCTGCGACGAGACGTGACGGATATGGCAGTGTTCATAATTAATCGGGGATTACTCCGAAAGCGCAAAGCGCTCAACCCCCCCCCCCCCCGAGGGGAGGGGGGCTTGGAGACGCGTTGCGTCCATTGAATCGTTTATTTGAGAACTCGTCACACGCCAAAATATAATACACTCTTCAGCGACGGATTATTGTTCCAGGAGGATAGATATATCGTTTAGTGCATATTTATATGAAAATTATTTATTTACCAAATCCTGTAATAAAAATATATTTTGAAATGTGACAAATTGGGTGACTTATTCTCAGTTTTCTCGAAATGAGCAATTTGGCGTTTGACGGGTTTCTGAACTAAACGATTCCATTGATGATGCAACATATTAAAATAAAAACTACATATGATTGTATTCAATTGTGTTTATCAATAGGTATGATTATGTTTGATGTTAAATGATCCATATGTTTATTAGTAATTAAACATTTTGTCCACAGATGTCAATAATACGGCACGGCAAGCTCTTTACTTCGTGCTTCGTTTCAATCATGACGAAGTCCCATTAGGTGACAGTATGTCTGACACTACAAGTTATGATGCCGCGAATGAAAGTGATGGCTGGCATATAGAAGCGGTGCTAGGACCTGAGTACTCTGAACCTGTCCGCACTGTGGATGCTGTAGTTGATGTCGTCGTGGATCGACGCCATACCTCACGTCTCGTGCAGGACCTGCAAAGGCTCTGTCCCATTCCCAGTCTGAGGCACTTGAAAAGAGTGTGCCCCGACGGGCGCATCCTCATTCAACTTGCAACTGACTCTCCGGGACATGAAGGCTCCGATTCCGACAAGAATTCTTCCAGAACTAGCAAGTGTTCACCTTTGCCTCAAGAGTGCAAAAATAAGAGATCTTTCTCTGAGACTGTAACAGATAGTGATTCTGGACCACAAGATGGATCTACGAGTTCAGAACAATTGTATTCCACCAGCAAGTCAGTATTGCTTGATGAACAAAAAAATGAGGTAGGTGCATTTTAGAGCCGTCTATACTTCCGACATTAAGGAAAGAAATATTGTTTTTGGTAACTGAAACTGCTCTTCATAAATCTAAAAATAAGAAGGAATACATTTATTGTAAATTACGTATTGAACTTCATACATATTGAAAGTATTGATCTTCACATGATACTAACTAAATTTAAGTTAAGTGGTTTAATTAAGAAGGATGTCACAGATATTGTTTAATGATCTCTCAGTCCATTGTAAGCAATCAACACAGGAAATAAATTTTAATCGGCAGTAATCTACTCATAATATTTTTTCTGCAATTACTTTTGAGACTGTACTTAATAATATTGCATTTCCAATGAGTCTTGTACAAACCATTTGGCAAAATGAGAAATATTATCTTATTCACTGTAAAACTTTTTTTAAAAATTACTTTATGCTCTTAAATGCTATTTACTTTCCACTTTCTCGCTACGGAGTAGAAGTTTTGTGGGGAAGAAACGGCGAATTGTAGGCAAAAAACCTTTATTATTTTTTATTAAACCTTAAATTAAATTAATATTAAAATTAAATTAAAATTAAAAAAACCTTTATTATTAACCTTTATTACCGTGGTAACGAAAAGGTGGATAAATCTATTTTCTAAATTTATAAAAAAAAAACGTCTATCAAGTGGTGTAGGCAGAATACATGTTTTGTGTGTCCTCGAAAAATCGAATGACGGCAAAACGTCTGTCCGTCAGTGAACAACACTAGCGGGAAAACGTTCACACGATTTTCTCCGAAATTTATATTCCGCGATTGATTTGGTTGATGTCGTGGACCCTCGAATTTGAAAGCGATATTTTTGGGCTATATCCATTTTGAAGAAAATCAGCTGAACGGTTTTGGCGCTACCGTTAACCACAGGCAAACGGACTGAAAACGGACATTTTGCCGTAAATCGATTTTTCGGTATGAGAAACCAACAAAACGGATTCTGGTGACACCACGGGTTAGAGATTTTATTAATTTTAGTAACAGTATTTATCCACTTTTTCATTACCAGAACTCGGTAATGATGTTTATTCTGGCGAAATTTCGTGATGAACGCGAACCTCGGCCATCCAGGAGGGCAAGATCTATACACTTCTATTTTACTCAAGATACAACTGTTTCAGTTCTAGCATTACGAAGCTGGAAAAATGTGAAAAAACAAGGGTGTTAAAAGTTGCGAATTCGAAAATCACATACACACTTCAAATTTATTTATCTTAATTGATTGTATTTGTATGTTGAAGGGCTTCAAATGATTTTTAACAAAGTTTCTGTAATTTTCAGTAATGTGCTCTCGGGGAAACATTAAGTTTCGCGTCGAAATTGCACAAGATGTTGATGGCGATGGACATCCCTGGTTGCCGACAGCGCCATCTAACGTTTGTTTTTGAAACTACGTTCTCTAGATCGAACTCTGAAGATTAAATTTATTTTATTGGAAAGCGTATAAAACACTTTAACGACCATTGAGAACTAAATAGTAGTAGTACAGGGGATAATAGACTTCGTGATTCCTGCCCGAGAAACTAAATTGACATTAATTTTTGTAAACGTAATGTTGCTTTCAACTTTCGTTAATATAAAATGTGTTGTTATAAAAGGAGAAGAGCGAATTAATGGTTCAGTGTCAAAGGTTTGTCCCAGATCGTGGGGAGAAGTGGGTTCGATTTCCTATCTCCGTAAATATTCCTTATCCATTCTACATTACAAACAATTCGTTAAATTACAAACTTCTACTTTTGTCTTGCCAATGTTATGCATAATTAGGCAAAATTCGCGATCGTGAAGAAGGAATGCGAACAGGCCATTCTAAAACAATGGTAATAGAAAGTCTGACGTGCGGAATTGAGACCAAAATAATACGATCTTTAATCGTGAATATAAAGAATGTTAAAATATTGCGCTACTATTTCACTTTTACACGAACAAAACTGTTTTTATGCCGTAGAACACAAAAAAATACCGTGGAATTGCACTCTTAAAAGCTCGGAAAGAGAGTTTAACAAGTGATATCACAATATTTTTGTGATATATCGACAAGAAATATCGACTTGTTTTTGTATATGTAAGTAATTCATTAAATCTCATTTTGACATCTCCTGTGTGCTCTGATATGACTTTTATTTCTTCTATACCACTACATGGAGATAAATAAAATAGTAATTTCTTGCATAGATTCCCGTATGTTGTTGATATATAATATGAATAAATATGATGGAGATGATGTTCTACAATAATTATTCATGTGACAGAGTATTTAATTTGCCCTACCTATACTGAAATAAATAAGGTGGTTCTGAAGATGATTGTGGTTCTAATGATGAATATTTCTTAGATCCCTTGCCTTCATGGGGAAGACCATAGTTATGTGGGTATTGAGATTTTGTAGTAGTAAATAAAATAAAATAAATTTCAAAATATAATTTTTCGAAAACGAATTTTGAAGGCGAAAATGTTCCTAGACTTTGATTATGGTATTGGAGTTTATTAAATATCATACAAACATCAACATTTTTCGGATGTATGTAAAATCTATTGTGTGTATTGCATATTTTTATGCACAACAAATATAATACAGATTATAAATAAATGATAATGGCACTAAATAGCGAATTTTTTTTCATTTCAAAAAACCATTTCTAACAAAAGTTTACGCAAAATATGACTGTTTCTAGTTAAACATCAGACGGCCAATTAGCCATTAGTGATGTCCTTCTTGCCCTTAATATTCTAGTTCATAAGATAGTGGAATAAACTCATTTCTTTTGTTGAGAAAGATTATCGATTTTCTCTTGTAAGCCACACACTACTACCCACGTGTATCTGTCATTCGCAGTACTTCCGTGTTTTCGACTCCAGGTCGAAAGAAGATGAGTTCTGCAGCGTTGGCACTTGGTAAGAAAAGAAAAATAGCGGCCAAACAAATAGAACTACTCCGTATTCATTATTCGTCATGGCTCACCATAGCCAAGCCACACGAAAGCGAGTTATTACAATACTCGTAGTAGAAGAGGGTCGCCTCTCTGTTTCAGAGGCGGCGAGTCGGTATGGCGTTGGGGCAAGAACCGCTCAATACTGGCTTAAACGTTATCGAGAAACTGAAGAATCCTGGAGGAATCTAGATGCAGGGCTTTGACGTGTTTCAGATGCGTGGTTGAGATGGTTTTTGACGTGGTTAAGATGAAGTTTTGATACAAGCAGCTGTGGAAAACCCTTTTCAAACTTCAAACTGCGAAGAAACCCTTCACAACTGCGAAGAACTATCAGATTTCCTGGATGTTCCAGTACCATACGCAACAGAATTTCAGAGGCTGGTCTGCGAACCGGAAATGCAGCACGAAAATCGAAACTGATAGAACACCAGCTCTATCGGTTGGCATTTGCGGAGGAAAAATTATATTGAGACTGGGCCGATGTCATTTTCTCCTTACTTCTAACGAACTTTTTCGAAAACTCAAATGTTTTCTGGGAAGAAGTGCTTCAAATTTTGAATATACTGGAGCGCTTAAGCGCCATTTTCTTAAAAAAGGCTCCAAATTTTTCAAAGAAAATTGCCATTTACGACGCGGTTTTGCTTAGTATGTGGAGTGTGATGTTATTGAATAGTGCAGGAGCACCCGTGCAAGAGCGACTTGCAAGAACCATCTTAACACTGCCGCGCGTCTTCTTAACTCTGCCAACAAACAAAATGTTGGCATTTTTATTGAATCTTATATTTCACCGACATTTCTACTTTTATTACCTCAAATGTACTTTTATTATTATTAGGTCTTCATTTATCTAAGATGTTGGCTTTGTATTATTTTAGGTCTCAAAGCATTCAGAAGAATACTGAGGCTATCTGACGTTGCTTAACGATGTTATCTCCGCCACCTACCACCGAATTGTGTGCGGAAAACATTCACACTGTTTCCTTTCCCAGCACTGAAAGCAATGACAAACGGATGCAGACAATGCCAGAGCGTTATCTCTGAATGTATCAAACGTCATTGCTACTGAAGTAAATGCACAATTGTTCTAACATTGCGAGAATCGGTGAATTGGAGAGGGGTGTAGTTTCAAAACTCGACTTTTCCACTTTTGGTGAAAAATGTGATATTGGGGTCCGTTGCATTTATGTGTCGTGCTATAAAATGATTTGTAACAAAACGCGTTTTTTCTTCACTCTGGAGGGCTTCATAATAGTGTTAATATCAGAACGTGATGTTTCCGTAATCTTCATTTCATTTCAAAGACCGATCTTTCCAATCCAGTATTCAGAGATCCTTGTGTCACTATGTTTAGGCGCCGTAATGTATCAAAATGAAAACATATTATTGTATAGAACTCTAAGTAGCATAAGCATTGATCAAGCTGATACTGAGAATGATTAGTATTGTGAAAGTCAACAGTTAGGGATTGCTGATATCCATATTTGATGAAAAATTCCACATGAAATATTGAAATCAAAAGAAAATAAAGAATACTCTTGTAACAATATTTTAATGGAAACAAGTTTGTTTTCACGGAAAAGTACTTTTTCACCAAAATACAAAAAAATATATATATATTTAAACTAAATTTCGAAATGAGACTTTTCGAAAATTTTAACTCAACTTTCTTCATAATGTCTAGATATTCTTGAATTATCTTATAATTTCACTAGCAAAAGGCGTTAATCATAAATATTTAGTAGCAGAATGTTTTAAATAAAAGATGTGACATTTTCTTGTTCCTCGTGAGTTGAGAACTGTTTTGTTTAGTTGGTAAATAAAAAAATAGTTTTGTTTTGGTGTTATTGGCCCTTCTCATGCCGGCAGAAATGTTTTAAAAATCTCCAAATAGCCATGGGCAGTCCAAACACCGTTGAGCTAGCTGAATCGTAATAAAAAATGCGTGCGCTGTGCAGGGTTAACATGTTTTATTATCTCCACTCTATATAATGCAATTTTAATTATAAATCTAAGCGATCAATTTTCTAATTCGGAATTGCAATTGCCTTCTTCGCTAAAGCGACTTTTGGTTGTTTTATGCATTATGAAGACAAATGTAGAATGTTATAATTTAGTGGATTTTATGGCACTGTAGTATGGATAAAAATATTTGCGCAGACGAACCAGCTGTTTCCCGAGTTTTAGAACAACACTTTTGCAATGAGCCTTTCATTCCTTTTTCAACACTCCTCTTATAACAACATATTTTATATTAAAGAAACTTAAACGTAATATTACTTTTTCAAAAATTAATGTCAATTCAGTTTCACAATACAGAAATGGGCAGAAATCACGCCATTCTTTTTTCCTCTGTACTAGGACTATTTATCTCTCAATGGTCGTTAAAGTGTTTTATACGCTTTCCAATAAAATAAATTTAATCTTCATAGTTTGATCTAGAGAACATAGTTTCGAAAACAAACGTTAGATGGCGCAGACGGCAAGCAGGGATGTCCATCGTCATCAACCTCTCGGGCAATTTCCACGCGAAATTTAATGTTTCCACGAGTGTACATTATTTTATTTAGTTTAATGTAAATATAATTTGATTTTGTTCAGTAATAATAAATTAATATATTTGCTGTACTGACGTTGTTTCGAAATAATCATAAAACGTGGTAACTTCTTGTCATCCGAATACTAATGTGACAGACTGTACTTGTGTAATAAAGCATAGCGTCGTAGATTTGCGTGGTGCACTGAGCGTGGTGTGTGTGGTGCGCAGCGGGCGCTGCCGCGGGGGCTGGACGCGAGCGGGCTGCGCGGCCGGCCCGAGCGCTGCGCGGTGCCGGCGTCGCCGCCCCTGACGCGCGCGCAGTTCACCCACGCGCAGCGCCTCTGGTCCTGCAACTTCCACCCGTCGCGCGCCGTGGAGGCGGCGCTGGCGCCCGGCGCCGGGATCCACGGCGCCCGCCGCGCCGCGCTGCTCGCCGCCCTGCGCGCCTGCTACCGCACCAGGTACACTCGGCCCCGCCCCTCTCCTAGATACGGGAAGCTGATGTCTGTCGCAGAATTCTAGTGGCATGACAAGTGGCCGTTCCAGTGACAAGGGGAGGAACATTATATTAATTTGGTTTTAATAGTTAACAGTAGTAAATTATTGATTTTAAAATAAAAAAAAAACTTTTTTATTTACTTCCTTGTGTGTGTGTGTGTGTTTTTCAAAATTACGAAAATGTATTTTTGACGTGTCTTTCACGTCATTAATATTTACATTAGCGGTGATTTGTTTACATTATTGTATTTATGAGTTCGTGTTTAAAGCATATTTCTGTGAAAATGCGCTGAAAATTCCGCATTTTCAGAAACGCTTAAATGTCATTCTTCCCAAACCTCTCCAAATGTTTTCTTGAAACTTTTCGTACATGGATAATGCTAATAGCACTGTTTAAGTTGATTTTAAGTTCATTTCGCTGTATTCTTTTATTTTTTCAAAAATTACACAAATATAAGTTTTTTGAAATACCTCTCATGTCTTTAAAATGCTCATTTGCAGCGATTTGTATACATTATTGCATTTGTGAGTAGAAGTGCTTAACATGACTTCCAATACATTTTTTCGAAAACTCAAAAGATTTCTGTGCAAACAGCCTCAAATTTCGTATTTACAATAACACTTTAACGACATTTTCGTAAGAATTGCTCCAAAGTTTTTAACGAAAATTTCATTACGCCCTGAGGAAGGTCGCAGAATGGCGACCGAAACGTCGGCACCTTTGCCGTGAACGCGGCGTCACCCGAACAGCCAATTAAATACTGACTTCAGCCACGGAAGCCTACGCTCTCATATTACATTTATGACATCACAAACGCCTAAACTATGCGTATGATTTTTTGGTAAAATGGATATTCCCCGGTCGATATGGTTCCACTCGAAGCTTTGCAATTTTTAAAAAAACATTCTTTAATATTTGAGGTACTATACATACAGCCCCTGGAACATTTTCAAACATTTCTCAAAAATGGCTCCAATTTGTTTCTTAAAATTTCTTGTAATAATAGAGTGAAATGCTTTATTATTATTATTATTATTATTATTATTATTATTATTATTATTATTAGTTGCGTCAACTTTAGAAGCAACGCGTCTCCAAACGACTTGGGGGCGTTGAGTTCTTCGCGCTTCTGGTGTTACCCTCCATTAATTGCTACGCGGGAGTAATCGTCCATTAATTACATAGTCTGTCACGTCTCATCTCAGTTAGTTATCAAGAGGACCGCCAGATAGCATCCCCGCGTGCGCGCCTCTCTCTTACGCGTCCTGCGTCACTACCCAGTGGCCAAATTGAAAAGGCAGATAGGGGTAAGGTTTAGGACGCTTCACGTAAGTTAGATTAGCCCCTGTGAAGCATGCAAACTCGTTTTATTGTAACAAATTTCACATGAGGTTCTACAGGAATCGAATGAAATTTGTTCTCTTTAATTGGTTCTTTCATTTAGGTGAAGTACATTTTTTTTGAAAATTTTAGTAGTTGTAATATTAAGTGCAATATTAAAAAAATATCAAAAACAAGCATTTCTCAAAAAAGGCTCCAATTTTTTTCCTTAAACTTTTCGTAGGGATAGTGCTCAATGTACTGTATAAACTCTCATAAACGCCAATTTGCTGTATTTTGTTTCTTAAAAAATTACAAAAAAATTTTTTTGGCATCTTTCTCACGTCTTGGATAGGCAATTTGTATACATTGTTAATTAGTACATGTGCTTCAAATGATGTCATATAATGTTTCTCGAAAACTGAGAACTTTTCTGTGAAAATGAGCTCAAGATTCTGCATTTTCAGAAACGCTCAAATGCCATTGTCTCAGCTTCAAATTTGTTCTGCAAACTTTTTGTATGAATAGTGCTAAATGCAATATATAAGATAATTTTGGTGTATTATTTTGTTATTGTTTTCAAAAATTGCACAAATATAGATCTTTTAAATATCTCTCACGCCATTAGTATGCACATTTCCAGCGATTTGTATACATTATTGCATTTGGGTTTGGAAGTGCTTCAAATTACTTCCAATGAAGTTTCTCGAAAACTCAAAAGTTTTCTATGTTAATTTGTGTCAAATTTCGCATTTACAGTAACACTTAAACGTAATTTTCTTAAAAACTGCACAACATTTTTGAACAAAAGTTTCCGTATAGAACGAGGTTTTACTCGTATTCAATATTCTTAAAGTAATATTTCAAATCTATCATTAGGAAACAGAAAAATTGAGATTAAAAAAGAAATTGGCTTTGGCCTTTGGCCTACTTTGGCAAAGATAGAGCACAGCTGGCAAGATGATTGGGCAAGATCGAAATGCTAGCCTAGACCAAAGAAATTAGAAAATTAACTAGTACGAGAAAATCTGTGCCATTCTGTAGCACCACTTGTTTCTTGAAAGTTATCATTTTGTGAACACTCACCTTTTTTCCTGTTGTCTTCACCCACTATCATTAATTATTTATTCCCCCCATTGAAATATCAATACAAAGCATATACTTGTGATTTTATGTTTTTCTTTTTAATATGTGTTATAGCTGGATATACTGTGTATATAATGTGTATGTACTATGTTACTTCTTTGATTTTGAAGATATCTGTTGATATCATAACAAGAGTTGTAGTCCAATATCAATTCATGTCCTCAGGGCAAAGTCTGCAGCTGCAGCAGTGCATCCACACGATGGCTCATTGGTAGCTTTGGCTGTGGATGCAAGGGATGAGCATCCCCTGCAACATGCAGCAATGAGGCTTGTTGATCTGGTAGCTCGTACTCAATGTGGAGGGGTATGGACTCCACTGCCTAAAGAAGAAATCAAGGTAAAGACATTACCAATAAGATGAGCAGCATCACAGACTAACATGGCAAAAACTTGCCACATTAATTGTAATAAATTTATTACATCCTAATTTGTGTTTTAAAAAAGTGAAAAACATTATTTCAAATGTTAATGGAATTGCATCTTTGTCATGGATGGATTTGCACCTTTGTCATGAAGGGGATGCAAATGGAATGTTAGTAGGCTTGAATTGAATACTTGGAGTAATCTTTGAATAGGTGAAGCTTAATGTGAAGCAATATCTATGAAACAAAAGAAACCAGTAGACAACGAACATTAAAAAAGTATTTATAAGGAAGGAAGGCGACGTAGTCCCAATGTGTGATAATTAGAGTTTGCAATAGAAATTCAAGACATTATAATATATTAAGACAATTGTCACTGGCTTTTATTCTTTTGTAACATCTAATTGCATCAATTACTTTGAAGTTTGTATGCCCCTATTTTTCAAGAATTTGAGACTTTAAGAACATGTTAAAGATGAACTGACATGTACAGTATGAAGCAACATTCCAAGTGGATTAGAAACAAAGAGTCAATATGTTATGGTTTTGGAATTACTCAAATTCCAAAAGAGTACAGAAGCTGTCATCATGAATTAGGAGGAATAGACAGAAAAACCCCATGATTTTGCTCAAATGTCTGTTCTGAGAGTATATTTCTCCTCTCTGTCAGGAGTACTTGAGCAAATGTATATTGTCACCATAATAATATTATTTAAAAATTCTATTGTTTATACTTTTAGCACTAGTTTAAGAATATATTTTCATTAGAAAGTTGTAACATTAGATAATTTTTGCATTTCTTTGCAAAAATATGAAACTGCACTAGTAATTTTACACTTGAACATGCGCACTAGGGTGGCCCTTGTTTTTCAACTTTCAAAGTTGTGCTCCCACCCTCCTATTTTGTTTCCAATCAACAAAAAACAATACTTGCAACATTTTAGCTCAACTGGACAACTCTAAGGCAAACCCCATTGACCATGAAGTTTTGAATGTCCGCTACGTGAATTTTGTTATGCGATTTTTAATTTTTATTATATTATTTGTTATACTTACAATAAGATATACTTATTTTATAGCCCCTCCATTTGTATGTTAATGTTAGTTCTAAAATATATAATTGTATTATTATTATTATTATTATTATTATTATTATTATTATTATTATTGGTATTAGTATTACTGCTACTAGAGCGCCATACGTCTTCCAGTCGCAACTACCAATAAGTTTTTAATTTTATTTTTTAAAGTCGCTTCTTAACAACTTGATCATATAGTGACTACGGTGATTGTTTTAACTGTAGGGGGAACTGTAGGAACAACACAACCACACAAACATCCGCCCAAGGCAGGATTCAAACCTGACCCTTCAAACTGACACTTTGTGTTGCGCGGAAGAGAACTTGTCTCCAAACACACAACTTTCACTACACAATTGAGCATGAAGCTCAGGGAAAATTTTATTTACGGCAAAAATTTTCAGATCTCTTACATTCTTGAAAATATTACAAATCGTCACGGTTATTGACGTGTAATTTGCTCCTTGCAAATCATCTACTCCTAGTCATTCTCATGGTTATTTATTAATATCTGTCACTTACAGTAAACTGCTTGATATGTGGGAACATTGAGCAGTGGTTAATGTGCAATGGCAGAGGGTTTCCATTTCTAGTTGGGCAGTTCCTGTGTCATTCCATTAACAAGTCAGTATGCACAATTTTCCTTGGGAATCGAAAATATTTTCAGTTTTTTAAAGAAATTTGTGCTGCTGATGAATATTCATTTTCGTGACGTTTTCTTCCAAGATTTGTAATATGGCATCAACTTCAGAAACTTCAACATATAATTTTAAGAAAATATTTTTATATCTCTCTCGTTGGCCACATTTCCAATCAAATCGTTGGAGCTAAACTACCTTCGGTCAGTAAAGTTTTAAACTTTTTTCTACAAAGTAAGAATTGTAAATCTTACAACAAAGGATATATGGCAGCATTGATAATTCAAGAGATTTCAATTTTTTGGTAAAAAGCACAAATTCCTTAAAGACCTGATCATGATGTTGATCAGTTTACTCAAACTCTATCATGTATGGAAAGGTTTACAAAAATGTTTGACTAGAACTACAGGCAAGGAAAAAGAAAGGAGAGATATATTTCTGGAAAATATAGATGATCTTTTTGACATACTTTGATACACATAAAAAATGATGAAGATATTTTTTTAATGTTTCTGCACCAGAAAGGACGAACTGGTTACAGGGCCGGTGCAGATCAAAAACTAAAAGTCAAGAAAGGGAAAGCCAGGAAACACACTACAATGAAAATGAAAGGGACAAAAAGAACTTATGGAGAAATGGAACAACAAATTGCAACTCTTCAGATTGCTAGGTCAGAAACTGAGGATTCAGCATCAAGCCAGCAAGGAAACGATGGTGGTAATGATAGGAAAAATTCTTCGGATAGCCAGAGCACCTACTGCAAAGAAAATCGAGGTACGTTGCAGTTTCTTAGTCTTTGTTGTTGTTTTTCCTTCTTGATAGATGCAAAACCTCTGATAGGCATGGAGTTTACATAATAATGGCTGCCTCGAAAGCTTTTGGACATGAAACTGAAAAACTGATAATAAATCACACTTCTTTTCATCGACTTAGAAAAAAATAGAGAAGAGAGACACAAAGAAATTCAGCATAAATTTAATCTAAAAGTCTGCCCAAAATTGGTGTTGCACTGGGATAGAAAATTATTCTCAACACTCAAAGGTGTTGATAAGGTTGACAGACTGGTAGTAATAGTAACTTTTCAAGCAAGGAACAAGTGCTTGGAGTCCCTGAAATCCCAACAACTTCAGGAGAAGAGCAAGCTACGAGCAAGCTAGCAAAAAAGGGTATAACCGACAAAATTCAGGCACTTTTCTGTGACACGACAGGAAGCAACACAGGTCGAGTAAATGGTGCCTGCACAAATCTAGAAAAGTTATGTCAGAAATCGTTGGATAAACTGGTGATTAATTTGATTTAGAATGTTTTTAAACAATTGCTGAGATTGTTTGAATGAGTCATAAAAATTGAGGGGGGTAATTGAGCTAGGTAGAGAATATTTTACTACTTTTTATTAGAATAATGTGTTCCATTTACCATGTTTCAAGATGAGACAACACACGCATTTAAATGCATGTTCTATAAATATTTTCATAATGTATAGAAGCATGTTAATGAGTGTGCTAATCAAACTTCAGTGCATTATTGTTGATAAACTTATAGCACAGTAGGGTTTTTAAGTAGTTGGGTATGGTTGTCTTAAGGGTTTGACATACTTATTATCATGATCAAGTATTATTTCATTGACAGGAACATATTCTTATATTTTCATTTAAGGTTAATTTTATGGATAAATCCAGTGATATATATGAAACCTCATTTGAAGTTTCATATGTACCCATTCCATTTAGATCACTATGCTTTATGACTAACTGAAGATGGGGCCAAAAAATTGCTTTCAAAATGTAAACAAAGATACATGCTGTCAAATGGAGTTAAATGTAGTAGGTTTTTTTTCTTCTTAATCAATAGGTTAACTTGTTGTGATGTAATAATATTTTTGTTTCGACCAACAGGAAAGTGTTTCAAATGCCAGTGGTAAGGATTCTTTACCTTACCTGTGCACTGGACTGGATGTTGTCATGACACATGAGCCATGTGCAATGTGTGCTATGGCACTAACTCATGCACGAACTCGCTGTGTGTTTTTTTCTGAAGACAATTCCAACTGTGGTGTGTTATATTCGCACTCACCCCCACTTCAAATACTTCCTGGACTTAACCATCGATTACAAGTATTTCATGCTTATCTACCTGAAGGGAAACGATAGAAATAAACTGTTATTAAATAGATGCTGATTTAAAATGAAAAATCTTCCTAAGGAAGCCATGAAATAGTGCTGATTTTAACAGATTGGTAATAGGCATGAGGAAAATAAAAATTGATCTTTCATATTAGAGTTTTCGGAGTCGTCCATAAATTACATAATGCTAAACTTGGAAGGCTCTGTTATGTAAGGCAAGGAGATTTAGTTTAGTTCCTGTCTTATGTTAAGACTGCAAAACATTGAATTTATTTTTAAATATGTAAATAAATTAAAAAGTTATGATGCCTATGTGTCCTTCCATCTCTCAAAAATTCTCCCCACTCTTTTGTGTAGACAGCATTGACAACTGATTCTGACAGTCAATGACATTTTGGTTTTATTCATCTGGCATAATTGAAGGAGTTTATATTCATTTTTTAATCCTGTGTAATTACATGCAAATAATGTATTTATTAAACTCAGGCTATTAACTTCCATTGCTGTGAGTTGTTTTGTAGTGTATTGTAAGCAATATCAACTGTCGTGTTTTTGCTGACAAAATTTGATTAGGTGATAACTAGAACCCAATTTATTTTTTAATAAATATTTTTGAATTTAAGAAATAAATATTTTATCAACAATTGCTCACTAGACAATTTTCTTATACTTTTGCAGGAGAGAGAAATGTATTAATTTTTTGGCAGAGAGTATTTTTTTAAGTTTTTAGCAAAGGGCAATAAAGCAAATCACTATGCCCCCTCAGAATTCTGTAATGAATTGCCTGTGTATATATAGTCGACTCCGGTTATGGTGAATTGGGGACTAACATTTTTGGTTCACTATATCCGATGACGTTAAAATGAAATAGAATTTCTCCACAATGATTGATTTTATAATTACAGAGATACAACAAAATACATAAACGGCACAAACTGAAAATTTCACTATTTTTATTTTTTCTTAGGAAAATCAATTATTTTCAATAGTTTGCTTTGTATATTTTTCATTAGTAACTTCTCTACATCCTTCTCCAGAATTCGTGCTCTCTCCATACTTGATTCTGCATTGTCCACAGTCTTGGTGTCGTAATGCAGTCTTTATACCCTTCAATACCTCTTGCTCTGTCCCGCTTTTCCAAGGCCCTTTTACTCACCTAATAACATATGATATCCTTTTGGTTGCGAAATGGTGCGAGCGGCTAATAAAACTGATCGTTCCCGTTCGGAACGTCGGGAATCACCAGGCTGTGGCAGTCGCGCGCGCTTCCTGTCGCCTACATAGAACACAACGCGCTTTGTCCAACAGAATATCAAGTAATATAAAGCTTGAAACTAAAGTAAGCAAACGCATGACGCTCATGCAGTTCTAGCTCATGCAGGACAAGGCCATTGTTTCTGCAGTGGATTTGTGTGGCATTAGAATATCAGTGAGGTTTTCATTCTGGATTCGCTACGATCACATCAGGGGAGACTTGTTCGATTATGACCTTTGGCCAATTTTATTTTTCAAGCTTCCGTGTGTTGGAATTTGTGGCACTGAGGTGATGTACTGTTTCCAGGAGGGAGTTCATTTCTAGATCGCTGTATTTCCTAGAACCGAGGTTCAGGTTCACTATAACCGAATCTTCTTATGCTAATTTGTAATGTAAGTGAAACGGGACCAGTGACTTAAGTTCACTATATCCAAGTTCACTATAACCAGAGTCAACTGTACATATTGGCTGTACACAACTTGTGATACTGCTCGGAAGTAATTATCAGTGTGCAAGGTATTGCGTTGTTTGTGATAAAACTGGGGCCAGCAATACAATGAATTTATCTCCTTCCCTCTCAAATTTATCAGTGTTAAATAAAAGTGAATTGAGTGAATATCCAAAGTGAAGTAGAGGTAGAAGATCCAAAGTACTCCAAATTTGTGTTTCATGATTTATGGACGATTCTTTCTTACTAGCTTCAAACATACTTAACTCTTAAAAAATATAAATGTGCTGAAAAAAATGGACGATTGAATAAATATTTAATTATAAAAGCAGGTGATACAAAATTGAATCCTATTACAATTTTCATATTGTTATGTTGTTTATGTCCCAACAGTGTTTTTATAAGGTACCTTGATGAAGTTTCTGCAATAGTGAAAGTAGAAGGTGATTTTTTTTGTCAAGTGTGTAAATGAAAATAAACTATGTTTTTTACCATGTGGAACAGTTTTTTTTCCCTGTAACCTGGTTGCGGATGCATCTGTGTGTCTAATAGGTGTCAGAAATGGATGCGTTAATGTACATTTTCATAGATATGGTAAAGGCACAAGAAATGCCCATAGTTACAAGCAAGTTTTGTATTTTCTTTAAATTCACGTGGTGTTTAATTAATTAAAATTTACTACTAAATTGATTGTGTGAAACCCAATTGGTGATTAGCTTCTTTCTTTCTGACTATATCCCTTACTTAAAAATGGCTGTATGCTCTGTTTTTTAATTCAATTGAAACCCAACTTCGATCCAGTATTTCTCACTAGAAAATTGCTAAACTTTTGGTAATGAGCAGATACTTGACTCGCTAATGCTTCAATGATTACCTTCCTGAATGTATTTTACTCACTAAGTCTAATCAAAGGATCAGTTCATGTGACATTATAATATAAATAACATTTTTCCCAACTCTCTTTAACTTTTAAAGGCTGAACTCATTACAATATTTTTATATAACATTTCACCTTTTAATTTTTCATTTTTGGAAAATCAACCTACAATTTTTGTTTGTTTCATTTTTGTGATGTTTCTAATTGGGAACACTGGTCACTTATGATTAAGGTAAGCTCCATGCATGCAGGAAAGTTAATAATACAAAGAAATACATTATGGAATTTGTAGTTAAACATTTAGCGAATGTGAACACTAAAGGCAAATATAAACTAAAAGAGAAACTAACTACAAATAAATTTGAAAATGTAGTGTAACGGTACGAGCTGCCGCGAATTCAACATCGGGTATCTATCAGTAAAATCTCGTCCATCAAGCGCGGTCACAGCGGCCGTTGGGAGGGCGGTACCTGACCCCCGCGCCTGTCATCCCCACTATATTGTACGAGGGTCATTTATGGCTTACCGCTGTCGCCGCCGTTTGAAGGGGAGGGACCTTTGTCGGCAAGCTCCGCCCCCACCGAGCACTCAAGACTTTCCCCCTCGCGACTGCGCGTCGAAAGGGTCGAAAGACAGATTTACGACTCAACGAACGTTGGCGCGCACGTGCGGCCGCATCCGCAATCTAGGTCACAACGTTTTTTCCCCGGCCGCGGAGAGACTTGCCCGCGGCGGCAAACGACGCAACATTTTTGGCTGTTACGAGGAATCGTGGGCTATTGGTCGAAGCTCCGCCCCGCCACGCTCCGCTAAATTCAATTTCGTTTAATCAGGAGGATTCTCACTGGAGAAAAGGGGGGTACAGAGCCTTCGAGAAGACGGGAGAGGAGCTGCAAAAACATTCACTTTAGTTTCTCCAAGAGAGGAGCTCCAGCTCCAAGAACATTCACTTTGGAAATCTCGCAGAGGGAGGTCGAGCTTCCAAAGCACATTCACTCAAGATTTAATCGGCGAAAGTTTTTGCTCCAATTCACATAAGAGTTTCGCGAAACGAGACATAAACGAGGCAATGGGAATTATTCTCGCTGGCCGCGAGTTACATTAGCCAGTTATCGGTGCGCAGTAGCACGCTGTCACGTGCCATAGGCCGGCTCATCCCGCCCTACGATAGTGGATCGTCCGTGATCGCCTGATTCAGGAGACGGATGATTACCGATTCGTAATCGCCGATGCGAGTCGTGAGTGCCTGGAGATCCGGCCTGAGAGAGAGAGAGAGGGAGACGAACACGGCGACGCTGGACCGCGGCCGTGGTAATCTGCAGCGGCCTGCCCTGCCGCCGGTCAACAATCCCACCAGCTGTGCGTGCTATAATGCCACGCCAACAACAACCAGGGTAATCATTAGCTTTGCTCCCGCTAAAATGCGGAAGAACAGTAACTGAACGAAGGTAAAGATAGATGCCATTAGCATCATTATGCATGGCGGCCTATTAATTTATTTAGTTTTTGTATCGAGCCAACCATTCAAATTTATTTTATATATAAAAAGGTCGCACGGGTCTAATTTGTACAATATCATGTAAAATCATCTATCACCCATGATCACCTGAGATAATAAATGTTTTATTTGTTAAAGTTCAATGACTGTGTTACTGAAAACCTCATCCCCGATCCATCCACACACACGTTGGGATACAGTAGTAATGTTTTTTTTAATGTTGGTTTGCAGCGAAGTTCAATGGTTTTAAATGGCTCTAGTTTCACGTTGTAGCATTGCACTTCTTCCAGGCGTGTGCGCATTGACACGTGTTTGTGTTTTGGTAGATTGATGATAGTTTGTACCAGTTTACATAAAAGTGTAATGGTTTTGTGATAGTAAATACTTGTGTTAAAATGTGGTGAAATTGTTAGCACTGATTTTAGAACTCTGATTTTGTTTATGTACCATATTTCAAAATTTATCTTTTCGATGAAACGGAGCCTAGTTCGTAGTAGGCTATTTCACGAACTCCTTCGGAATTGGACATTGTTTTGTTCAGTTACGTTGCAGATTGACTAACATTGAGAATAATTGAAACTTCACATACTATGTCAATTGATTAATTGCAATTAAAATGACTTGCAAAAGTTGTAACAGTATTATAATTAAAACAAAATTAAAAACAAAAGTGTTTAACCACATGTGGTGTGTGACATATGTAAAAATAAGTATCATTCGTCCTGCACAAGCTCTCATCCTCAGAGCTAAAAGTGTTCGCACTTAAAACTTTGACAAGGCAAATGTATTGGTTCTGCGTGAACTGCACGTCTTCAGGCGGCGATCTCAACATCACACAAGCTCCCGCAAGCTCCGTTCCCCTTCGCGAGCGCCTTCTCGGAGAAGCGCTTCCTGCAAAGGGGGCGGGAGGGGAAGACGGCGCGGCGGTCGCCGATAACCAAAACCAGTGGGCCTTTGCCGATATTTCAGAGAACATGAGTGGCAGACTATCTACACCCGTTAATTTTCTTTCGGTTTGAGAAGAAAGATTTCCTTTTGTAGATACTGGAACAATGGTGCGGTGTTTAGTGTATGCTGCAGTATGTTAAGGCTAAATGTCCCGACACTACTACAATTTGTGGCCACCACGTGGCAGCACCAAAATAAGTAAAATTTACTTTACCGATAACGTCTGAA